GCAAAGCCGATGAGTCAGATGCCTTTTATGACCTCCTGTCACAGGTGCTGGCTAAAGTGGCCCCTCGGGATAGAGTCATCATGTTGGGTGACTTCAATGCCCGAGTTGGTCATGATACTGGCACCTGGTCTGGAGTGATTGGAGGGCATGGGCCAGATCAGCTCAATAACAACGGTAGGAGGCTGCTAGATTTTTGTGCAGCCCATGGGCTTGTAATTACCAACACGCTGTTCCGGCATCGGCGCATCCACACAACATCATGGATGCATGCCAGGTCCAAGCAAGAACATCTGCTGGACTACATAGTGACGGACCAGCGGATGCGAGCCCATGTCCTTGACACCAGGACCTACCGTGGAGCTGATCTGCCCTCTGACCATCGACTAGTCATCTGTAAGATGCGCCTGCCATTCTTCCACTCCGGTGGTGGGTGTACACCCAGGACCCCATTCCGACCTAAAGTGGCCTGGTCTCAGTTATCTGATGAAAGTTGCAAGCGAGAATTTCATCATCGCTTGCTGCTGGGGTTGGCATCGTCCCCGACTCCTCCTGATGTCGAGGGTAAATGGGCGAGGTTTAGAACTGTGACTCATGCAGCTGCAATGGCTGCTTTGGGTACGCGGTCCAGACCTCCCCAGAGACCCTGGCTGACAGAGGAGGTGTTCAGGATGGTTGAGAAAAAGCGACAGGCCCACTGCCATCGGCTACAGAATCCCACGTCAGAGAATGAGGAGGCTTACCGCAGCCTTCGCTCGGAGGTTCGGAGAGCCGTGAGGCACTGCAAGGATGGGTGGTCGTCGCCGGTTGCTGAGGAGATGGAGTCTGCCTCAGTGGCCCGTGATCACAAATCTCTATTTAACTCCATCAAAAAAGTAACCTGCAGCGCCACACCTATTATCATCATTAGGTGAAAAAACGGTGATCCAATCTCCGATCCCCAGGAACAGGTTTTCAGATTTGCTGAGCATTTCTGTGAGGTCCTGGGGGAGGGAAAATCCCTCAGCCAGGAAAACATCGTGGCACAAAGTGAGGATGACCCTGCTGAGGCTGCGGTGCCTCAAATATTGGAAGAAGTCACCCCCTGTAAGTGGCTGGCTGAGGTGCCATCTGTTAAAGAAGTACTGAAGGCAATCCGGAGTCTGAGACCAGGAAAGGCAGCGGGCAGAGATGATCTCCCAAGCGAAATGCTGAGGGAGGGTGGCGTTTGTGCACAGACTGCCCTATATGACATCATAACAACGGTCTGGACCACTGGACGGTTTCCGCAGGATTGGAAGGATGCCCTGGTGGTCCCCCTTTTTAAGAAGCGGGACCGCACAGACTGTAACAACTACAGGGGCATCTCACTCCTCAGTGTGCCGGGAAAGGTCCTGGCAAGGATTATTCAGCATCGCCTTGCCAGGCACGCTGAGGAGAGGCTTGCGGAGCCCCAATGCGGTTTCAGGAAAGGGCGGTCCTGCACAGCTGCCATATTTTCTGTCTGTCTGCTACAGCAGAGGTGTAGGGAATTCCAACAAGACCTACATCTCTGCTTTATTGACCTGGTCAAGGCCTATGATACCATCAGTAGGCCTGGGCTCTGGGTTGTTCTTCGTGCTTTTGGAGTACCTGACCCTCTGCTCACGATCATTAAGGACCTTCATGATGGTGAGCGGGCCCGGGTAAAACTACGTGGCCAGGAGTCAGAGCCTTGCCCTGTACACCTTGGGGTGCGACAGGGATGTCCTCTGGCTCCCACATTATTTAACATCTATTTTGAACACGTAGTTCGTGAAGCCTTCAATAGCTGTACCGGGGGAATCTCCATATGGTACAGATATAATGGGAGGCTGATCGATGCCCGGGTGCGGTCAAGGGATGGCTCCCTATTGCTCAACCACGTTATGTATGCTGATGATTTGGTAATAGCTGCTCATTCAGAGGAGGAGTTGGAGACACTGCTGCTGAGACTGGAGCGTGCCACTAAGAGGTGGGGCCTTACCATCAGCCCCACCAAAACTAGGCACCTGCCTGGGTATTTTGTACCATCGGACACTCCACCCCCACAACTCCCAATCGGTGATGGGGCAGTTGTGGAGAGAGTGTAGAGTTTCCCATACCTGGGCAGTGTGCTTATGACTGGCTCCAGTTTAACAGCAGAGGTCTCACTCCGAATCAGTCGAGCGGCAATATCTTTTCATCGGTTGCGTAACGCTGTGTGGAAGCTACCTGGTCTGTCGCTCCGCACTAAGCTTCAGGTCTTCTCGGCCACGGTCATTCCCTCCCTTCTCTACGCTTGCGAAACGTGGACCCCCCTAATGGAACATCTTCGCCGGTTAGAAACATTTAGGCTGGCCTGCCCACGATCCATCCTGGGTTTAACCAGACTGGATTGTGTGAGGAACTCACAAATCCTTGAAAGATCTGGGCAAGGTCGCATCGGTGAGCTCCTCCGGCAGGGAAGGCTGCGATGGCTGGGTCATGTAGCCCGCATGCCCAGCCACCGCATGCCGAAACAGCTTTTGTTCGGCCGGATTGAATGGGGCTAAGCGGGCGCGGCACGGGCTGGAGAAGAGATGGAGTGATGTGGTACAGGAGGACGTGGAGCTGAGTGGACTTGCCGATGACTGGTACCAGCGGTGTCAAGATCGGCCTCTGTGGAGGAGGCTCGTGAACGACGCTACTGGGCAGTTGGAGGTAGTCGCCCTCCAACAACAACGGAGGGCGGAGGAGCGACGCTCAGAACAACGAGCGGAGCGCCGGGTGGCTAAAGCACAGTAGATTGGCACAGTAGGGGGCAGAGGTGGTGCATCAGCCAGCCATCTCAGTCAGTCGACCCGTGGCACCTGGGTCTGCCCCGTGACCTCCTGCCAGCGGGCGTTCGACACTTCACGTGGCCTCAGGGTGCACATAGCCTGGCACAAGCGTCGTGGTGACGTCACCGCCACTTAGTGGCGAATGGCGGTTGTTGTTGTGTGTGTAGGTCAGTGTGTGTGTAGGTCAGTGTGTGTGTGTGTAGATCAGTGTGTGTAGGTCAGTGTGTGTGTGTAGGTCAGTGTGTGTGTGTAGATCAGTGTGTGTATAGGTCAGAGTGTGTGTGTAGGTCAGTGTGTGTGTGTGTAGATCAGTGTGTGTGTGTAGGTCAGTGTGTGTGTGTAGATCAGTGTGTGTGTGTAGGTCAGTGTGTGTGTGTAGGTCAGTGTGTGTGTGTAGGTCAGAGTATGTGTGTAGATCAGTGTGTGTGTGTAGGTCAGTGTGAGTGTGTAGGTCAGTGTGTGTGTATAGGTCAGAGTGTGTGTGTAGGTCAGTGTGTGTGTGTAGGTCAGTGTGTGTGTGTAGGTCAGTGTGTGTGTGTAGATCATAGTGTGTGTGTAGGTCAGTGTGTGTGTGTAGGTCAGAGTGTGTGTGTAGGTCAGTGTGTGTGTGTAGGTCAGTGTGTGTGTGTAGGTCAGAGTGTGTGTGTAGGTCAGAGTGTGTATGTAGGTCAGAGTGTGTGTGTAGATCAGTGTGTGTGTGTAGGTCAGTGTGTGTGTGTAGATCAGTGTGTGTGTGTAGGTCAGTGTGTGTGTGTAGGTCAGAGTGTGTGTGTAGGTCAGTGTGTGTGTGTAGGTCAGTGTGTGTGTGTAGGTCAGAGTGTGTGTGTAGGTCAGAGTGTGTGTGTAGGTCAGTGTGTGTGTGTAGGTCAGTGTGTGTGTGTAGGTCAGACTGTGTGTGTAGATCAGTGTGTGTGTGTAGGTCAGTGTGTGTGTGTAGGTCAGAGTGTGTGTGTAGGTCAGTGTGTGTGTGTAGGTCAGAGTGTGTGTGTAGGTCAGTGTGTGTGTGTAGGTCAGAGTGTGTGTGTAGGTCAGTGTGTGTGTGTAGGTCAGTGTGTGTGTGTAGGTCAGAGTGTGTGTGTAGGTCAGAGTGTGTATGTAGGTCAGAGTGTGTGTAGGTCGGAGTTTGTGTGTAGGTCAGTGTGTGTGTGTAGGTCAGTATGTGTGTGTAGGTCAGAGTGTGTGTGTGTAGGTCAGAGTGTGTGTGTAGGTCAGTGTGTGTGTGTAGGTCAGTGTGTGTGTGTAGGTCAGAGTGTGTGTGTAGATCAGTGTGTGTGTAGGTCAGTGTGTGTGTGTAGATCAGTGTGTGTGTGTAGATCATAGTGTGTGTGTAGGTCAGTGTGTGTGTGTAGGTCAGAGTGTGTGTGTAGGTCAGAGTGTGTGTGTAGATCAGTGTGTGTGTGTAGGTCAGAGTGTGTGTGTAGATCAGAGTGTGTGTGTAGATCAGAGTGTGTGTGTAGATCAGAGTGTGTGTGTAGGTCAGTGTGTGTGTGTAGGTCAGTGTGTGTGTGTAGGTCAGAGTGTGTGTGTAGGTCAGAGTGTGTATGTAGGTCAGAGTGTGTGTAGGTCGGAGTTTGTGTGTAGGTCAGTGTGTGTGTGTAGGTCAGTATGTGTGTGTAGGTCAGAGTGTGTGTGTGTAGGTCAGAGTGTGTGTGTAGGTCAGTGTGTGTGTGTAGGTCAGTGTGTGTGTGTAGGTCAGAGTGTGTGTGTAGATCAGTGTGTGTGTAGGTCAGTGTGTGTGTGTAGATCAGTGTGTGTGTGTAGATCATAGTGTGTGTGTAGGTCAGTGTGTGTGTGTAGGTCAGAGTGTGTGTGTAGGTCAGAGTGTGTGTGTAGATCAGTGTGTGTGTGTAGGTCAGAGTGTGTGTGTAGATCAGAGTGTGTGTGTAGATCAGAGTGTGTGTGTAGATCAGTGTGTGTGTGTGTAGGTCAGAGTGTGTGTAGATTAGTGTGTGTGTGTCGTATCGGTCTTCATAGATGTTCGCGATCAACACTTGCCCCAGCAGTCTGGTAAAGGCTAAACGCGGGTTATTTGTGTTTCATAGCGGTGGCGAAGGGGAGAGGGGTTAGGGTGGTAATCGTGGTGGCATTGGGTACAGAGTGGTTGTGGTTGTCGCGTGGGTGGTGGTGATGGAGTGGAGGGAGCTGGGTTGAAGCTGTGGGTGTGGAGGGGAGGGGGTTGGTGTGGAGGGGGGGGGTCTCCGAGTGACCCGCAGCAGCTTCCCCTGTCGCGAGTGGAGTCGGCGGCGTGCATTGGACCCAGATCTGGGAGCGTGTGCAGTAAATAGAGGACATCGCGACTCGCACGACCGGGGTTTTATGTTCGATTATGGATTTGGACGAGCGCTTTAAGAAGGTCAGATATGAACATTTTTGCGTGTGTGAAGCTGCGTGTGGTGGGATATATCCGTGCGCATGCATGCGTTATGAAGAGCGGTGGCGCAGTGGTTAGCGCACTGCGCTATGAATCCGGCCACCCGAGTTCGATTCCCGCTCACGGACAACACCAGTGATAATGATCTGAACTGGTACTGGGCCTCCGCTAGGTCGACTCAGCCTCAAATGAGTACTAAGTGCTTTGAATTAACGTCGCCACTTGGAAGACAAAGGCGGTCGGGCGTGCTGCTGGCCACCCACTCCCTCGTGTGACATGCCGGTCTTCATAGGTGCTCGCTAATAGCACTTGCCCCAAAAGTATGTGCAAGTTTTACGGGGCATCTTTTTGTGTGTGACGTTATATGTATATGCGTGTACACATGTGTGTAGGGCTGTATGTGTACATGTTTGTCAAGGTGCACCTAGCCTAGCACAAGCACTACGTTGATGCAAATGGCGATGTGTACATGTCAAGGTGTGTATTTTACAGGATAGTGTATTGTATCCTTGGCCTTAATAGGTGTTCGCTAACACCGCTTGCCCCAACAGCTGGTGTGGGCTACACTGGGGACCTTTGTCTTTGTGTGTGTGTGGGTAATTGCCACGATACATCACGGAGCAGGGCCTCGTACCCCGAGGGGACAGCTGAGCCCCGATATCGCACGCCGGATAAATAAACCGAAATCTCTTAGGGAGCCTGCGAAGTTTAAATTATTCAAAGAGAATTATACAAAATGCATGAGTGAGAAGCTATTGTGTGTTTGCAATGCGATTGTTAACCGAACCGTGGACTGTCCACTGCTGGATGAAGTCCGCCTCACGCACGCGATTGCCATCTCGCGCTGTTTCTGTTGTCCGATCTCCATGTTCATTCTCCCAACTCACAGTGATATTAAATGATCATTTTAAAACATATACATTCATCAAACTTTTTGAGTATTGGTTATCGTTCTGTCGTGTGTATTCCCTCCATTGCCTGCCATTCCATTACCAGTCTTGTCCGCCTGGCATCATCATCATGTCCATCCCTTCGAGCCATGACGTAACCTGCCCTGTAGCCAAACTTCACTTCCCTTAACAATGCATCGACGGCACTGGTCGTGATGACACCATCCAGTTGACCGTGACCACGGACTATCGGGGGTGCGCGGTGTGTAACGGTTTCGCGTTTGAATGGCACAGTTTAGTAAAGGCGGAGAGGCGCTGTGCAAGTCGCAGTGTGTGTGGTGTGTGGGCACCCATCCACGTGTGTCGCGAGTAGCCGGGCGAGAGCTCGAGAGGGCCCTGGGTTGTCGCCAGCTGTCACACGCGGCAACGTGGAGACTTAATAAGAGCACTGCAGCAAATATAAATCAACACACAAACAAATGAACACGTAATGTGCATGTATGTTGAACTCCTTTCGCACCGTATGTAGCCAACCGTGCTCGTCGGAGGTGCGAAATCAATGTAAAATTACATTTAGGACACAATTACTTTGCGTGTCGATGTCCCTATCAGAGACCAACACACGGAGTTTACTTTCTACCCCTGGGCAGCGCCGTCTGTTTTTCAGGCTCTTCTTGCTCCCACATTAAGTAGCGCTGTGTTCGATTGAAGTGAGTTCATGTCATTGTGAGACGAAGACTGAGATCTCACCTGCACCTCACCTCTTCGCGTTGCATTTGCGCTGCTATTTAACTCGTGTGAGTTTCGTTCACGACCGCTAAACGCTGCGACCGTTCCTTGTTCAAACCTCCTCAAGGACCCCGCTCTCTCTTTGTCTGTGTGCCGCTGTGCTCCCCCGCCACGGATCTCCCGTGTAACGTCGCCGGCACACTGGCGAAACGGAATCAGCATCCGTGTAGCAAATACAATCAACCCAACACTCAAACTTTTCTTTTTTTAAACCCGTTCATGGTAACAATGACTTAGAGAGAGATGGGAATGGATTGCGGGTGGTTATTGCCCTCGTGTGTAATCAGACGATAGTGTTGGTCCGGGCAGGGAAGCCAGTCGCCTCTTTACACCCCAACGCCCAGCTGAGATCGACTCAACGCCAGCAGGCCGCCCCGGTTAATACTGCAATGTTTATAATATCTATAAAATACTTCTGCTTCACTCACAGCGGACGTTAAAGGCCCTGTAGCGTCATTTGTAAAGGGTGAGCCCTTTGTGTGCCGACTTTACGGTCGACGCAAAATGTGACAAATTCTTCGAATGACACCGCACATGACTCACTGTGGATCACACAGAGGAGCGATCATCGCCCCCACAGGCAGACTCGTGCCCGCTTGCTCGCCAGTGCTGCGTCAATCACACTGTGCCACAAATGGACAGCTGCCACTGGGGGTGCCCTTCAATGTTTGAGATGAGATGTGATGAGCTGCTGAGGTATTTAAGCAAACGCCATCCACGTGCAAATGGGGATTATACAATATATATTAGGTGGATTATTATATCACAGGATGGAGGCGGCTAAGGGAAGGCCTTCATCCAGCAGTGGAGTGACCATGGTCGTTGATGGTGAGTGGCTTAAATGGACCACGTGTTGGCTTACACGTGAAAGGAAAACGTATTTTGTTGAAACTTAGACGCGGGCTGAAGAATTAACAATCTGCGCAGTGGTCCGTTCAGTTCCTCCTCATAAACGATTAAACAATTGATTTGCCAACCCACGTTGACCAGCGTGGTGAAGTATGGTCAAACAACCCCCACGGCCCGCACAGCGTGGGAGGCCCTCGTCATCCATCAAAGCACCACGCATGTGAATGTGGAAGAGTAGGCCAATCACCCTCTAGAGGGGTTCCCAGCGCTGCTTGGAGTGGAGGCCCTTGCACTGGCAAGGGCGCAAGCACTCTTGGGGTGCACTCTGGGAAAGCGCATCGCTGTAAACATTCTTGGGTACACTTTGTAATCTTGCACGTTCCGACCCCCTGCCCATATCCCCCCCCTCCCCCCCCCCCCAGGTGACCATTTCTCACGAGTGGGGGGCCGGGGCCCCCTGTTCCGCGTGCAAAGATCGCTGCCCCGGCCTGGAGCTCCATTACTGGAGGTGAGAAAACGGCCCCGGAGAAACCCGCACCCGGCACACCACGTCAAGGTGTGGGGTTCACTCTGGGCTGTGGCTGCGAGCGGTCACGTGCCACCAGTCTGTCGCAGCAGCAGCGACACCAGGAGAGAGCCTCTTGCGTTCCATACTCAGGGGAAATTCCCGCTGCGATAGCTGGTCCGGTTTTATAACGTCTATCCGCGAGATATGATCATCATCATTGTCATCGTCAGCTAGACCTGCTCATCATCAGCTAAATGTGCTCATCATCAGCTAGATGTGCTCATCATCAGCTAAATATGCTCATCATCAGCTAGACGTGCTCATCATCAGCTAAATGTGCTCATCATCAGCTAAATGTGCTCATCATTAGCTAGATGTGCTCATCATCAGCTAGACCTGCTCATCATCAGCGAAATATGCTCATCATCAGCTAAATGTGCTCATCATCAGCTAGATGTGCTCATCATCAGCTAGACCTGCTCATCATCAGCTAGACCTGCTCATCATCAGCTAAATGTGCTCATCATCAGCTAGACCTGCTAATAATCAGCTAGACGTGCTCATCATCAGCTAGACCTGCTCATCATCAGCTAGACGTGTTCATCATCAGCTAGACCTGCTCATCATCAGCTAAATGTGCTCATCATCAGCTAGACCTGCTAATCATCAGCTAGACGTGCTCATCATCAGCTAAATATGCTCATCATCAGCCAAATGTGCTCATCATCAGCTAAATATGCTCATCATCAGCTAGACGTGATCATCATCAGCTAGATGTGCTCATCATCAGCTAGACCTGCTCATCATCAGCTAAATATGCTCATCATCAGCTAGATATGCTCGTTATCAGCTAGACCTGCTCATCATCAGCTAGACCTGCTCATCATCAGCTAGACGTGATCATCATCAGCTAGATGTGCTCATCATCAGCTAGACCTGCTCATCATCAGCTAAATGTGCTCATCATCAGCTAGACGTGATCATCATCAGCTAGATGTGCTCATCATCAGTTAGACCTGCTCATCATCAACTAGATGTGCTCATCATCAGCTAAATATGCTCATCATCAGCTAGATGTGCTCATCATCAGCTAGATATGCTCGTCATCAGCTAGACGTGATCATCATCAGCTAGACGTGATCATCATCAGCTAGATGTGCTCATCATCAGCTAGATATGCTCGTCATCAGCTAGATGTGATCATCATCAGCTAAATATGATCATGATCATCAGCGACTGCACAAGGCTAGCCCGCGCTAGCGTTGTGCGATGGCGGGGCCAGGACAATATGCAGGCGACAACAATAACGGCGACTACAACGCAAGAAGGGGAAGGAGTAGGATCCTGTGACTGGGACCGCAGAGCCGGAGTCTCCGCCGACGCGCGGGTTCAGTGGAGCCGAGCCGGCGTGTGGCTGAGGGCGATAGGGTTCTCGGAGACACACACGCACACACGCGCACACATACGCACACACACGCACACACGCACACACGCGTGCACACACGTGCACACACGCGCGCGCACACACACACGCACACACGCACACACACGTGCACACACACGTGCACACGCACACACAAAAACAAAGATCACCCGCATAGCCTCAACAAACTTTTGGAGCCAGCGTTATTAGCGGACACCGATGAAGGCAGGCACGGCACACAAGGGGGTAGATGGCCAGGATCACGGCCGGCCGCCTTTGTCTCCTTATTGGCAAAGTTTACACATCTCACCAGGTACTCATTTGGGGCTGGGTAGACCTAGAGGAGGCTCAGTACCACACACATTCACACATACACACGCTAATGCACTGTATGATCGCACACACACACACGCGCGCGTCCATACACGTTTGACGCCCACTCTCTCTGGACGCTGTGGTCAGTCACAACTCCGAGAGAAGGAACTTGCCCAGGAAATTTGAACCCGGGCGATAGCGGCAACAAATCTAGCGATGGCTCTGGGCCGGGAGCGGCCACTTTCTCCACAAAGCAACCCGGGCACGTTTCTCACTCAGCCTGGGTCTGCCATTCAACCCGTGCCGGCTCCTGCAAGAAAGTTTAACACAGCAAGACCCGTACCAGACATCGGCACCGGTCTTGCTGCACCTGCCACACAGGTGGCAATCCGATTGCAGTTCCAGCATGCTATATAGTCTGCCCCGGGATTTACAGGCTCAGGTGACCATGGTTCAAGTTGATTTATTGATATGCAGGTGGATTCACATAGAGACCCTTAGACTCGCATATAACCAGATGTCCCAAATGGAGAGACCGTAAATCCGGAGTGGAGTTTGTAGTCTCACAAAACCCGACGCCGCGATACAGAAACTCTCATGTCCCACTGCGGTGGCAGCGGCTCGCCGAAGAACTTAGATGGCTACACTCACCACGCTCACCACATCTGCCACACGCATAGCACATTATGCGGTGGTGAGACATGACATCACATTATCATGGGTTTAATGTCATCATGAGTTTACCAAAACAGCCATCTTATTGTGTTGAACATAGCATTGCTTTTGCACAAAGCAGTGCAATTAACAATGGTTTGTAAGTGACATTACGATGCCTGTCTGCTAAGGGGTGGTTCTATGGACTAAACTGCATGAATCTCTTAGATGTAAATCCCCTTGGCTCCGTGACGACTCCTCCTGGCCATCGTCCCGTGACGCGCCCCAGGCCGCTCACCCCCCAGCGGCACAGGGCACGAAATGCGTCCAAGTGGACGCCCAGCGGGGAGATGGAGCGAGGAAATCAGTTTGTGTTGCAGGTGCTCCACGGCGTCAGAGCCACGTCCAGAGACATTGCCTTGAGTGTAGCATTTTGAGTTGACAATTCGCGTCCCTTCATGTGCGTGGAATATCCCGTCGCCCTCCATCCACAAACGACTCGGCGCCGCGTGTCAGTGAACGTTACAATCCCCGTGGCGCTGTTATCAAGAGTTGGCTATTATGTGCCACCGGTGTCACGATCTACATTTTCCAAATTCGAAACGAAACCGCTAATACTCTATTGGGATTCCATAAAGAGCAGACTAATGCCCGCTCACAGGCCGGTGCTGTGTCACCTTGTGCCACACAGGGACAGCTGCCACTGGGGTGCCCTTTCTAATGTTGTTGAGATGAGATGCGATACAAGGTGCTTTGAGATGTGGAGGCATATAAGCGAGCGCCGTATAAATTCAAAACTGATGGCGATGATGTTGCTGGTGGTCTATCTGGGTGCTGGTGGTCTATCTGGGTGCTGGTGGTCTATCTGGGTGCTGGTGGTCTATCTGTGTGCTGGTGGTCTATCTGTGTGCTGGTGGTTGTGTCTGCGTGCTGTTGGTTCAATCTGCGTGCTGGTGGTCTATCTGGGTGCTGGTGGTCTATCTGGGTGCTGGTGGTCTATCTGGGTGCTGGTGGTCTATCTGTGTGCTGGTGGTTGTGTCTGCGTGCTGTTGGTTCAATCTGCGTGCTGGTGGTCTATCTGGGTGCTGGTGGTTCTATCTGGATGTTGGTGGTTCTATCTGGGTGCTGGTGGTTTATCTGGGTGCTGGTGGTTCAATCTGGGTGCTGGTGGTCTGTCTGGGTGCTGGTGGTCTATCTGGGTGCTGGTGGTCTATCTAGGTGCTGGTGGTCTATCTGGGTGCTGGTGGTCTATCTGGGTGCTGGTGGTCTATCTGGGTGCTGGTGGTCTATCTGGGTGCTGGTGGTCTATCTGGGTGCTGGTGGTCTATCTGGGTGCTGGTGGTCTATCTGGGTGCTGGTGGTCTATCTAGCTACTGGTGGTCTGTCTGGGTGCTGGTGGTCTATCTGGGTGCTGGTGGTCTATCTGGGTGCTGGTGGTCTATCTAGCTACTGGTGGTCTGTCTGGGTGCTGGTGGTCTATCTGAGCACCCACTGCGGTGCAGGGCGACCGAGTAAGGCGGCCACCTCTCGCCTCGTGGTGCCCTCGCAGGAGAGTTTGCGTCAACTGCAAATGCAGCCCGGAGCAGCACCTCGTGGAGTGGGAGCAGGCGGGGCAGCAGCAGCAGCTCCAGCAGGAGGATTTGAAGGAGGGCAGCACGACCCCAGAGGGCCTCGCGGGGGCCCAGAGGTCGGGGTCGCCCCTGTGTGACGGGGCCGTGGGTCACTGTCTACTGCCATCGTCGTCATCGTCACCGCAGTCGATGAAACTCCGCGACGTCAATGGCGATGGTGGCAAGGCTCCCCCACCTCCTCCTCCACCTCCTCCCGTCCCTGCTCCTTCTTCTCCTCCTCTGGTACCGGCGCAGAACGGAAAGCGAGGAGTGGCGGAGAGGGAGCAGCGGGCGGCGGTGAAGCACGCAGCTGGACAGGTCAGGCCCTCGCCTCACCAGGTGAGCGGGTGAGCGTGGGTGCAGTGACACCGCAGCCCGGAGCGTGGCGCGTTCGCCGCTTGTTATTGCAGAAGTTCCAATCTGACGGGCCGGCCCGGTTAATACTGCGGTGGTGGTGTAGGAAACATTAAGTGCTATGACTACTACTACTGTGCGCCGTCTGCTTCACAGAGGACGTTAGAGATCCCGTGACGCCATTCGCAGGAGTGGACCATCGCCTACCGGCGTCATGGTACAAATTTGCCAAATTCGAAAAAAATAAACCGGAAATGACTCGATTGGGATTGCACACACAGCAGACTAATGTTCGCTCGCAGGCCAGGTGCTGAGTCACCTCGTGCTGTACAGGGGCAGCTGCCACTGAGGGTGCCCTTTATAATGTGTTGAGATGAGATGCCATGCAAGTTACGTATCTCGTGTAACGCGCTCAGAGGCGCCACTTCCGGAGTGACGGATTTGTCAGAAACACCCCTCACTCATAACGGTGTTAGTGCCGAGTTAGTGCAGTGGTAGAGTTAGTTACGAGTTAGTGCCGAGTTAGTGCCGTGGTAGAGTTAGTGCCGAGTTAGTGCAGTGGTAGAGTTAGTGCCGAGTTAGTGCAGTGGTAGAGTTAGTGCCGAGTTAGAGCAGTGGTAGAGTTAGTGCCGAGTTAGTGCAGTGGTAGAGTTAGTGCCGAGTTAGTGCAGTGGTAGAGTTAGTGCTGAGTTAGTGCCGTGGTAGAGTTAGTGCCGAGTTAGTGCAGTAGTAGAGTTAGTGCCGAGTTAGTGCAGTGGTAGAGTTCGTGCCGAGTTAGTGGCGTGGTAGAGATAGTGCCGAGTTAGTGCAGGTGTAGAGGTAGTGCAGTGGTAGAGTTAGTGCCGAGTTAGTGCCGTGGTAGAGTTAGTGTCGAGTTATTGCAGTAGTAGAGTTAGTGCCGAGTTAGTGCAGGTGTAGAGTTAGTGCAGTGGTAGAGTTAGTGCCAAGTTAATGCAGTGGTAGAGTTATTGCCGAGTTAGCGCAGTGGTAGAGTTAGTGCCGAGTTAGTGCAGTGGTAGAGTTAGTGCCGAGTTAGTGCAGTGGTAGAGTTAGTGCCGAGTTAGTGCAGTGGTAGAGTTAGTGCCGAGTTAGTGCAGGTGTAGAGTTAGTGCAGTGGTAGAGTTAGTGCCGAGTTAGTGCCGAGTTAGTGCAGGTGTAGAGTTAGTGCAGTGGTAGAGTTAGTGCCAAGTTAATGCAGTGGTAGAGTTATTGCCGAGTTAGCGCAGTGGTAGAGTTAGTGCCGAGTTAGTGCAGTGGTAGAGTTAGTGCCGAGTTAGTGCAGTGGTAGAGTTAGTGCCGAGTTAGTGCAGTGGTAGAGTTAGTGCCGAATTAGTGCAGGTGTAGAGTTAGTGCAGTGGTAGAGTTAGTGCCGAGTTAGTGCCGAGTTAGTGCCGTGGTAGAGTTAGTACCGAGTTAGTGCAGTGGTAGAGTTAGTGCCGAGTTAGTGCCGTGGTAAAGTTAGTGCCGAGTTAGTGCAGTGGTAGAGTTAGTGCCGAGTTAGTGCAGGTGTAGAGTTAGTGCCGAGTTAGTGCAGGTGTAGAGTTAGTGCAGGTGTAGAGTTAGTGCCGAGTTAGTGCAGGGGTAGAGTTAGTGCCGAGTTAGTGCAGGTGTAGAGTTAGTGCCGAGTTAGTGCAGTGGTAGAGATAGTGCCGAGTTAGTGCAGGTGTAGAGTTAGTACCGAGTTAGTGCAGTGGTAGAGTTAGTGCCGAGTTAGTGCAGTGGTAGAGTTAGTGCCGAGTTAGTGCAGTGGTAGAGTTAGTGCCGAGTTAGTGCCGTGGTAGAGTTAGTGCCGAGTTAGTGCTGTGGTAGAGTTAGTGCAGTGGTAGAGTTAGTGCCGAGTTAGTGCAGTGGTAGAGTTAGTACCGAGTTAGTGCAGTGGCAGAGTTAGTGCCAAGTTAGTGCAGTGGTAGAGTTAGTGCCGAGTTAGTGCAGTGGTAGAGTTAGTGCCGAGTTAGTGCAGTGTTAGAGTTAGTGCCGAGTTAGTGCAGTGGTAGAGTTAGTGCCGCTCACCGCGTTGCCCCTTCAGCTCCTTTAAAGGAGAGTGAACTCTCTCTGTGGCTGCGCGTGGAGGAACGAACTTTGGCTCAAAACACGAAACGCACGACCGGCCAGGCGCCAGCGCCCTAAGCATTGCCAGTCCGTGGGTCTCTGTGTCAGTTGATAGGTCTCTACATAAGTCTATGTGTCTCTAGGTAAGTTTATTGGTATACACAAAAGTTTATGGGTCTCTATGTAAGTCCATGTGTATATACGTAGGTATATGGCCATCTATGTGAGTCTGTGGGTATCTATATAAATGTATGGGTTATCCCGTCAGCCGATATGTATTATGTTAGATGGTATTTACTAAAAGTTCACGGGTAGCTTTGTAACTATAGATCATACCTAAATATGTGGGTCGTTCCGTGGCTCGATGTATGTGTTTGTTTGTAATTTGTTGGTTTAATTGTTTCTCGTTCTTGCCTGTCTCATTGCCTCTGTGCCATATGTCTTGTTTGTTCCGCCTCGTTAGCGGAACATCACTCATTGTAATTCGCGCACAATTCCCACACACCCAAAGAGTCCATTCCCATTCTCGCACGACTGAAGTCACAACTCACGTGCAGAGGGATCCATCACAGAGCAATCCGCTCGAGTGATCGTGACGACCAATTCAGTCCGGGAATCGGCTGCGTTCGGGAGGCGGTGGGCATCGATTTGTCCCGACGTTTCGTGCCAGTGCCGCTGTGCTCAACTCTGTCGCAGGGACACTGCACGATTCTGATAATAAACCTGGGCTGACAGAGAGACGTGTCCTAGTTTGCTTTGTGGAATAATAGCAGAGAGATACATACACAGAGACACATTGATTCTCATAGAGACAAGTAGCTTCATCGTGATATAACTAGACACATAGACTCGAACAGAGAGATACATAGGCTCATAGAGAAACACATAGACTCATAGAGAACACAGACTCATAGAGAAACACAGACTCATAGAGAAACACATAGACTCATAGAGAAACACATAGACTCAAAGAGAAACACATAGACTCATAGAGAAACACAGAATCGAACAGAGAGATACTTAGACTCATAGAAAAACACATAGACTCGAACAGAGATATACATAGACTCGAACAGAGAGATACAGAGACTCATAGAGAAACACATAGACTCGAACAGAGAGATACATAGACTCGAACAGTCGAGATACATAGACTCTAACAGAGAGATACAATAGACTCGAACAGAGAGATCCAGTGAGGGAAAAAAAGTATTTGATCCCGTGCTGATTTTGTACGTTTGCCCACTAATAAAGAAATGATCAGTCTATAATTTTAATGGTAGGTTTATTTGAACAGTGAGTAACAACAACAAAATCCAGAAAAACACATGTCAAAAATGTTATAAATTGATTTGCATTTTAATGAGGGAAATAAGCATTTGACCCCCTCTCAATCAGAAAGATTTCTGGCTCCCAGGTGTATTTTATACAGGTAACGAGCTGAGATTAGGAGCACACTCTTAAAGGGAGTGCTCCTAATCTCAGCTTGTTACCTGTATAAAAGACACCTGTCCACAGAAGCATTCAATCAATCAGATTCCAAACTCTCCACCATGGCCAAGACCAAAGAGCTCTCCAAGGATGTCAGGGACAATATTGTAGACCTACACAAGGCTGGAATGGGCTACAAGACCATTGCCAAGCAGCTTGGTGAGAAGGTGACAACAGTTGGTGCGATTATTCGCAAATGGAAGAAACACAAAAGAACTGTCAATCTCCCTCGGCCTGGGGCTCCATGCAAGATCTCACCTCGTGGAGTTGCAATGATCATTAGAACGGTGAGGAATCACTCCATAACTACACAGAAGGATCTTGTCAATGATCTCAAGGCAGCTGAGACCATAGTCACCAAGAAAACAATTGGTAACACACTACGCCGTGAAGGACTGAAATCCTGCAGCACCCGCAAGGTCCCCCTGCTCAAGAAAGCACATATACATGCCCGTCTGAAGTTTGCCAATGAACATCTGAATGATTCAAAGGACAACTGGGTGAAAGCGTTGTGGTCAGATGAGACCAAAATGGAGCTCTTTGGCATAAACTCAACTCGCCGTGTTTGGAGGAGGAATGCTGCCTATGACCCCAAGAACACCATCCCCACCGTCAAACATGGAGGTGGAAACATTATGCTTTGGGGTGTTATTCTGCTAAGGGGACAGGACAACTTCACCGCATCAAAAGGACGATGGACGGGGCCGTCTACCGTCAAATCTTGGGTGAGAACCTCCTCAGCCAGGGCATTGAAAATGGGTCGTGGATGGGTATTCCAGCATGACAATGACCCAAAACACACGGCCAAGACAACAAAGGAGTAGCTCAAAAAGAAGCACATTAAGGTCCTGGAGTGGCCTAACCAGTCTCCAGACCTTAATCCCATAGAAAATCTGTGGAGGGAGCTGAAGGTTCGAGTTGCCAAACGTCAGCCTGCAAAGAGGAGTGGGACAAAATCCCTCCTGAGATGTGTGGAAACCTGGTGGCCAACTACAAGAAACGTCTGACCTCTGTGATTGCCAACAAGGGTTTTGCCACCAAGTACTAAGTCATGTTTTGCAGAGGGGTCAAATACTTATTTCCCTCATTAAAATGCAAATCAATTTATAACATTTTTGACATGCGTTTTTCTGTTTTTTTGTTGTTGTTATTCTGTCTCTCACTGTTTAAATAAACCTACCATTAAAATTATAGACTGATCATTTCTTTGTCAGTGGGCAAACGTACAAAATCAGGAGGGGATCAAATACTTTTTTCCCTCACTGTACATAGACTCGAACAGAGAGATACATAGACTCGAACAGAGAGATACATAGATTCGAACAGAGAGATACATATACTCGAACAGAGAGATACATAAACTCGAAAAGAGAGATACATACTCACAAAGCGAAACGTAATAATAATTTACATGTTTTACGGCGCCTTTCATTCCTAGATCCGAA